ACTCGCTGGTCGTTGGCTTCTAGTTAATGGCACTCATTCTACGCTATTCTATCAGAACTCCATGTGAATAGCTTCAGATAGACTCAGATAGCGAATACTTTGGAACTGGCGATCATCAAAAACTCTGTTAACTACAACAACGTAGAGCAGTTAACGGGTTTTTGTTGCGCAGGATTGTTCTCCGTTGTTTTAGACAACGGCACGAACCACTTTTATCTGACTCATTATGAATAAACTCCTTCCGTATTCGCGATAGTGTCTAAGCATGTTCCAGATTGATTGTTCTTATTGTGTAGTCTCCCTCTTTAAAAGAAGCATAATTGCAGCATTTTCCCTATCATCCTAGTGGTAAAGAAGCTTAGGTAATGGTTCAAGATCAAATGTTTCTATTATGATCATTCGCAAAACTTATAAACAGGTCAGAAGTTGTATTTGAAGATTCAACAGAATTGTTTTTAGGAGTTCCAGCAGATCGTGTGATCCTTTACGGACAGTCTATAGGCACAGTACCTAGCGTGGATTTGGCGAGTCGTGAAGAAGTAGCCGCCCTTATTCTACATTCACCATTAATGAGTGGGATGCGTGTGGCTTTCCCAGGAACTCAGCGCACGTGGTAAGTGTTCCATTGATGCTGGCTTTCAATGGAAATGCATGAAGTGCAGTGTTTAGGTGCTGTGATGCGTTTCCTTCAATTGAGAAAGTGCCTCGTGTGAAATGCCCAACACTTGTCATCCACGGAACGGATGATGAGGTACGCATCGCTCAACCTTTTTCTGATGGATTATACCCGAAAGATTTTTAGGTTATTGATTTCTCTCATGGAGTCTCAATCTACGAGCGTTGCCCGGCTTCCGTTGAGCCGCTATGGGTTTCAGGTACGACAATTGTTTGGTGATGATATAGATGAAAGAATGTTAAAACCAGGCAACATTGCCGAATCTGTTCCTATGACTATGTATGTTTTTAATTGATTGACCCTGTCCCACTTTGGAATAATTGGCATTAGAATCGCATTCATCACTGTCGATGGAACGTTTGTTCATGGTCAGAATAGTATTGGTATTTGAATGGGTTTGGCCTAAATATGAACGACATGCAGTTCCATCCGACGTTGAAGTCAGTATTTTGTTCTTTTTAGAGAAGTCCAGTACCAATTAACAGACCCCGTTGGTAGGGTATGTCTAGTGTGGTGAGATTCCATTAGAGCAGAAGACAGCAATCGCAATAAGCTGATGACGGTGAATGGTGAAAGTGAAAGTAAGGGTGACAAATGGCGCGTTGATAAAAAATCAAAGTAGAGAGAAACGGCCGAAAACCCGAGAAAGGAGTCTCGTTCGCCACCTACCTCTAGAATTGGACGAGTTCGAATAAATTTGACAGTGGGACCATGCAAACAGCGATTGATAGGCAGTTTTTTCTTCGACGGCCGGTGCAATTTGACACTTGGAGAAGAAAACCAAACGGTGACAGTTACGGTTCATTTCAAACACAGCGTATCAGAAAGAAAAAGGAGGGAATAATCAAACGACTGAGCCAATTATTGACGTTTTTGCAAGGAAGTGCAAGAGGTCTATACGCCGAAAGGTTTGGTGCAGCCTTCACTTCGATGCTCCACCTATAAATGGACGGCGTCCTGAAAATGCGCTACAGTCTGACCATTGTCGTTCGTTTTTTGTGCCAAACTCTACTTCTGAAGAACATTTCATTTTGAACGGTCATATAGATTGCAGCGTGTCCATAGCCTGATGCCAGCAGTCGAAGTGCTCATCCGCTTATCTAATAGCATACCCGATGGAAGAAGCAATGCGAATAAGGGCCTGTCTCGCCACTTCTCACAACCAAATTAGCCTATTCGCAGCCGATAAGAATCAGGGAAAGTGTAGAGTAAATCTTTGTTAGGCACCTCGGTGGACGCGTTTTTAACTGAACAAAACCGGAAAATGAGAACTGAAATTCCGAAGAAATCCTCTTCTCTTCGATTTCGCTGCTCATATTCTCTAAAATTTTAAGTTGTTTCAAGTTGCATAGGTATACTCCATATCTCAAAGTCTGATTTAGGCGTGGCTATGGGTTTGACGTGGCGGCCGCCGCACTTGATAGAAGTTGCGCGGATAAGCTGCTTCCAGCATGCTTTGCTGATATCCAGCAGTATGTTAGAAACAGCTTATCCACACGGCTTCTATCAAGTGCGGCGACGGCCACGTCAAATCCATAGACACGCCTAATCCAACTCCGAGATAAGAACTGTATGTAGTCAGGAAGCATTGATAAAATTTTTTATGACGATGTGTTCAGGTGCTGGTCACAATGATGTGGAGCTACACGCCGCGTACCTGGAACGCCTTCGAAATTTTATCGACAGTGAGGCGAGACGCTCTAAAGACGACATTGGCGTTCGCGTATAGCGTTTCTCGGTATTCAACGAATTTTCCGCTTTATGAACTCTTTCAGGCATTAATTACCACATCCAGTCTGTGATATGCTGGTAGTATTATTTTTGTTCCCCATGATCATATCTTTTGTGCCTGCTATGCAAATGCTATGGCAGACTATCCAACACGTGGTTTTTTCATCAGCACCCACATTTGAGCCTTGGATCTATGTGTTCATCATCAATGATCTGATCTTTCGATAATTTAAGAATTTTTTTACGGTTCACGATATGGTGGTTTGAAAATGAGAAAGTGAATTCTGATGGTTTGTATTATATTTTGCACAACTTTCATTCCGTTTCTCTTGTCAAGCCCATACGCATCCTTTATTTCCCTTTCCTTTATGAATGGTTCACTATATTCGCTCATTTGCTCCTATCCATACTTTGTCGCCCGAAGAAAAATGCAGGTTTCAAATCTATGCAATTCATGTAAACTTTTTTGAATCTTTTTTTGGCGTCGTTGTTCATAATACGTTTTCTGTGGACATGGTACGACTTGGCAACGAAATTTATGAATACAAGTTTGACATGTTAGCCTCATATTGTAGGTTGTCGACCGCCAGTCAGGATATTAATTTAAAACGAAACTTTGTCAAATAACCCTCAACCTTTATAATAAACTTCACTTTTGTGTTGTTCATTCTTTACCACGAGGAGTGAAAGTGAAACGAATTGTATTTTATCGATTCCAGATTTTCGAATCGCACATGCTCGTAAAAGTGAATTTTTGAGCTGCATGTCCATCTTCTCATTCGGACATACACATTACACATTGTCACGCCGCGGTCACTTTATAGTCGCTAGATCGCAAAAGCCGCCACGCGTATGGCGTACGCCGCGTATCGCATTTGGTCATTCGTCTTCATATTTTGCAATGTTTCCCACGCATGAGCGAAAGGAAGGCTATAGGATGGATTTCAGCATGCACACCACTCGATGCAAAATAACAGAATGGGAGCAAAAAACCAGTGAGCTGATAAATGGGAACTGATAGATGAGGAAAGAATGATGACAAGGGTCCTAATGACAATCGCAACGCATTCCGCGAGAAAACGTTTGCGACCGTCACTGTTGTGATTTCACAGTGGCGGAATCGCATGGTCGACAGATATTTGGTCTGCGGACAAGCTGCAACTCAGTCGTAACGTGTGACTGGGGCTTCAGGCATCTCTTTCTGACGTATGCTTTTCACTTTTAGCCAAGGACAAGCACCA